ATGTAGGGGGTGCTGCTTTTCGCGGGAATATCAGACTGTATTCAAAACGTAGCCCAGCCTGGCCCAGGCTTCATGTCCAGTCCATCAGCCATGTTTCCAGTTCTAAAGTGAACTGGGTGGGCAGGAATCTGTTTTTTATTCGGAGATAATTTCTTGTCTGAATAAGCCCTCGGCTTCTTCCTCTCATTTCCCAAAACATTTGGACATAATAGTCTGACATCCAGGCTGTTTTGTGTCCAGGGCCCTCTGGTTCTGGGAGACGGCAGGTTTTTTCACTTGCCGGTCACCTCCCAGCCAGAAAGGGTGGTCGGTGTCCCTGGCATCTGTCTGCCCTTTAACTTTTCCAAGGTGCAGGAAATTATTTTTTAATTTCTACAACCTAGCATTTTGTAGTTTGGTATGAAAGAAAGGGAAGACGGAAGGATCCAAGCCCAGAAGACTGAGGGCAAAACACAGTTTCCTCTGAACCTGGGGGGAAGGCCAGTGGTTGAATGTAGAGGGAAGATAGTATGAGGTTAAGAAGGAATGTGCAGGAGAAGAATTGGCTGTAAGTGACTTCCAAGTGATTATTAAGACCAGAGATTGAGGTGAGAGAGAGAGAGAGAGAGGAGAGAGATCATAGGATGAGTGGGAACGTTAAGGACAGGAAGTAAAGAGCAAACCTACCTTCTCTAATAAAAGGCTAAGGAGCAAGAAGTAATGCCCAGTAAGATTAAGGACCCAACTGAATGTAGAATAGATGTGGCCCTGGCGTGTGTGAGGACTTACCTGGGAAATCCAGGCGTAGAAGATGCACCAAGCGGGGCTGAGCTAAGGCTAAGGGACCCTCTCACTGAGCACAGAAAATGCGAGGGGCACCCAGTGTGGCTGTGGGTGAGCGGAAAGCTGCAGAGCTCAGTTGAGCTGGGATGGAAGCAGAACGGAGCTGTGGGCCCAGGGATGTGAGCAGGTCCATGGGAAAGCGGGCCCAGAGAAGGCGGAGAGGGGGCCTTGGGTAGGAGGAAGCTGAGTAGGGATGTGGCGGTCAGACCAGACAGGGAACACGTTTGAGATGGGGGAGGCGAAGCACTGCAGGCCGAAAGCTGGTGGGAGGGAGGGGCAGGGAGGATGGAAACTGAGCTCAGCTTGCGTTGTCATTGGGGATTCTTAAATTGCGGCAGTGAGGGGCCGAAAAGGAAAAAGT